GTTTTCAAACTGAACTGTTTGAAAACAGAAACATTTCGTGAACTGAGTTATTACTATAATCTACAGTAGTAGTGTCCCATGTAAAGATTCACCAAAGGACATCACTACAGAGGAGTGTCTGTAGTAGGGGCCCTACTGAGGAGGGCCGCAGTAATGGTACCATGGACAAGATGACATGTTTTTAGTCACTCTATCTCTTTCCCTAACTATCCTCATCGTGGCCCAGTGAATCCAGGTATCAGAAATGGAGGCTGTGTATGGGATCAACCATATGGACTTCCTTCACTAAAGCCAAACTGGGTTTAGCTACCACAGAGGGCCTAACCTCCCAGCATGGCACTATGCTCCAGGATGAACTTCTTGAATTTTTTCATCATGAAAGAAACAGTGGTCTTCCCTCACTAGCAAAGAATATTCTAATAAATGTGGTTTTGTCCTACTTCCCTGGAATGCTAATGCTAGAACTACTATCAGTGTATTTATAGAGTACCTTATTCACAATCACCTATGAGATACTGCTTTTGCCCTAGGGATTAATTTCATAGCAGCTACAATAAGAACAAAACAAATGAACAAGAGATTTATTGCATGTGGACTTCAGTGATCTTACTATGTACCTCCCGATACAATGGTGGGAGGGCCGGCTGAAGGCTTGTTTTATTTATTTATTTTTAAAATTTTAACAGTAAGGATTGATGTAGATGGGTTATGGTTATCTAAGATTCCTCCCCAAAGGCTCATTGTATTGAAGGCTTGGTTGTCAGCTGATGGGCTTTTGAGACGTGATTGGTTTGTGAGGGTTCAAACTTCCTCAAGTGGATAAACCCATTGGTGAGATCATAATTTGATGGCATTATTGGGAGATGACAGAAACAGGAGGTGGAGCCTAGTTGAAGGTAGTGGATAATGGGGGCGTGACCTTGGGGACTATATCTGGTCCTTGGCTCCTTCCTCTCTGGCTCTGGTGCATTTTCCACTCTCTGCTTCCTGCCACCAAGCTATGAGCAATTTTTCTCTGCCATACACTTCCTCTGTGTTGTTTGTGCCTTGCAACCAGCTGACCATGGATTGAAATTCCCAAAACCCTGAGCCAAAATAAATCTTTCCTCTTTTAAATTATTTTTCTCAGGTATTTGGTGATAGTGACAAAAAGCTTGACTAGCACAGTGGTTAACTTTAATCCTTCAGATTACAGACTATTTAGTTTGATTATGACTGTATGAGAAGGGTAATTATTATTGCTTAGAAATATTTGCCTAGACTTTTGCTCAGATATGGTTATAATGGGAAATATGATAGTTTTCTTTTCTTTCTGGAGAGGGGATGAGTGTTTCTGTTTCCATCAAACTGTGGCACCTTGCTGGTGCATACATAAAGTTGTTTTGCTGTGGATATTCAGATATGTGTGGAAGGGTGGGTGCAGAGAGGCCAAGGGGTGGACTGTGCCAGCTGTTAGACTACTGACTCTTTATGATAAAACCCACTCCCTACAATTGTCATGTGATGCTGGCAGGATTCTGAAAACTTTAAATCTCCTTTGTCAGCCTTTTGTTAGGATTTGCCAAGAGTGGCTTCTAAAGAGAGAGAAAGAGAGAGACAGGAAGAGTGGACAGGGACTCTAGTCCTGTTCACTCGTTATTTGTCCCAGCAACAGAAGCAGATAGACCTACAATCCGGCAGCAGTGATTGTTACCTGATTCCCATTTCTTTTGATACTCCCAGAAGCGCAGTCATTATTTCCCTTCAGTGCCAGCTGGGCAGTCTCCCACCCCTTTTCAGAAATCAAAGTCCCGCTTCATTGAGCTGCTTTTCTGAATGTCTAGATTCTGACAATCTAGGCCAGTGCTGGTGAACCTATGGCGTGTGTGCTGTGGTGGGCTGTTTGTATCATTGAAAGCTATGAAAGGTTCACCATCACTGATCTAAACTCTTTGCTTTGTGCCTTCAGCCCTAGGAAATGAAGTTGCTTCCTTCAGTTATTACATATTTTTACAGGTAGTAAAGTCCTTATGCTATCTACAAAGTAGCATAATAGTATGTGAAGATAAGCTCTGCATAATTAAAGATATATGTTGTAGGGGCTGAGGGTATAACTCAAGGGTAGAGCATGTGCTTAGCACGCAGAAGCCCCAGGGTTCAATCTCTAGCATGGCTCCACTGCAGGGACACACGCGCGCGCGCGCGCACACACACACACACACACACACACACACAGTACATTGTAAACCTTAGGGCAACCATTAACATTTTTTTCACTTAGTGCCACATCTCCCTTTTCACACTCCCATATTAATGGGATTTGGAAGCTTGGGAACTACATTTCTCAGCATTCCTTGTTGGAAAGAGTACTAGTTGGATTCTATGGATGCAAAAAGCACAGTAATTTCTGATTATCTTCAGTAATTATGTCTTATAAAGTCTCTGTGAAGCAGAGTAGTTCAGCAAAATACTGAACTGTTGCTGCTAGAGGAAAGATTAGGTTTCGATTAGGTTCCTGTGAGCCTCTGGCCACAACATTTTTGTCAACCAATCAATATACCAATCTTACTTTATGTGTGTTTTTGTTTAGAGACAGTTTACTTAATATATATCATCGATTTACTAACAGTGACTTCGAACAACAGCGCTATAATGTGTGCCCTAATGAAGCTTTAATGCATGTATTTTCTTGCTTTGTGCCTGGGAGCACTAAGACAGCATTTCAGCACTATGCCCAAACACTTTAAAAAGTGAGTTCACCAAAGGGGAAAAATAAAGCACAAAACACAATCACTCCCAAATAAAAAAAAACAAAAAACAGCACCAAATGAAGAAAGGCACCTGCTTATAGTGTGAGAGCTGAAACAAGAGAATCACTTTTTTTTAAACCTCAGCTGGGAACTTGTAATTGAGCTGAATCAAAATTTTCATCATTCTGTGAATGTCCATAAATGACCATAGAGGTGCTGCAAGTATTCAATTTGAGTTTACAAAAACATTTTTCTGAGTAGGCTAATTCACAAAGATGGAATTGGAATCCATGAGGAGCAAGGCTCATTGGTATGTCCATTTCAGCACACCCAATTTTAACATCTGCCTATTCGCTAGCAGGGTGGAGGAAAGATGGCAGAGAACTTCCGCTTCACTGGCCACTGTTTTTGTTAGGCTTTTAAGAGTTGCCCCAGTTGCCAGGGTCCCTATTCAGGTGTTAAATTCCAAGTTTGGAGAAAGTGTCTCTAAGTCAATAACTTCTTGCGTATCCAGTCTTACATCCCAACTTCCTTGATCAAACACCCTGTAAATCCAATTCCGTGGATATTTTCTTGGCTTCTGCCAGTACTTACTGGCTTATTCTTGCCACTTAGCCACACATTTCCCCCCTTGACCAGCCCAGTGTATCCCCAGCCAGTTTATTCTGGAACTTAACCCAATTTACCATCCATCTGGACAGCAGGGACAGCACAGGGTGGAGCGGAGGATCTGTTACCCATGGGGAAGGGGTTCTGTAGCACCTTCCAGCACTGTGACAACTTCAGTTCTAGCAAGCAAGCTTTGCAAACACTGTGCTAAACTGTGCTTGCCGGAAGGCACACAAATGTTTAGCATAGGTAATGTTTCTTTAGCTGTCAGGCCCTCTTCCATGTATCACTTCATTTCATCCTGCCAACAGCCTGTCTGAAGAGGGTACTATTTTCATTACATTTGCTTTTCCACAAAGAAACTAAGGCACAGAGAGGTTAAGCGAATTGCTCATGTGTATGCTCCTACCGTGCACATTTCCGAGTCCAGAGGCTCCGAGCAGGATCATAGAGCTGTGCAGTCTTTACTCTCTTTAAGTAGAAAAGTTAAGAATGTTTTCATTTACTTTGCAGTACTAGGGATTGAACTCAGTGTCTCACGGATGCTAGACCCTCAGCCACTGTGCCACATCCCTAGTTCTTTTTGAATTTTATTTTGAGACAGGGTCTTGGTGGCCTCAAACTTGTGATCCTCCTGCCTCAGCCTGTAATATGAGAATAGTCTGTGGTGATTATTGTTTTCTTAATACAAAATAGCAGGCATTTCCCTGAGTTCACTCTCCCTTTGAAACCTTAGAAATGATTCAGTTTCTACTAACTCAATTTTTCTTTTCTGTTCTCATCCTGTAAACTGTGGGACTCACAGTAACCAAATCTTATCATACTCTGATGTGAGTGCATAGTGAATTTGAAAATTGTCAAAATGATGTTCTATTTGTCTACGTTTCCAAGAAGCATTTAGAATGGGGCAGGCATCCTACCTCCTTTCTATGGGAGGGAGGCAGACCAGAGTTTTGCCGGTTCTAAACTTCAAGCCTTCACACACGTGGCTTCCACGGTCCTTGTAACTTATTATCTCTGTGATTTTTAAGCAAATGACTCCATCTCTGTACTCATCTCCTCGTGCCTGGCACAGAGTAACGATCCAGGTCCAGGGAGAGAGGATTCAGACTCATTCCCCCCGCGTTGCTTTGGAGTGGTCTTAGGCAAGAAGAATCCTTCACCTGGTTGGGCCTAACTGTGCACAGCAATACAATAAGGTTGGGTCCAAGATACTGGGGCGTCTTCCTGTTCTGATGTTCTGTACCTTGTACCTACCTCCGAGTCGTAAAGAATGGGCACTAAGGTGATGTCTCACTCGCAAAATCATTTTTTTTGTTGAAAATGATAAACACTAGGTAAAGATTTAAGAGGGAAACTGGGTGAGGCCTGAAAGGACTATGGAGAGTAAAATGCACAGCTATTTCTAGGCAGGGGATGGGTGTGGCGGGTCGCTGAGCTCGGAGTGCAGGCAGCCGAGCATCCCTGCAGGTTGACCAGGCGTCCGCGGGTGAGCGCTAAGGCCAAGGCCGCTTAGGAATCCCGCTGCAGCGGCTGCGCACTGGTGAGACCAGCTGGACGATTTGCGTGTCTCCGCCCCTGAGAAGAGCTGGTTGGTGAGGGCTGGCCCGGTGCCGGGCGCCGATTGGCTGTGCCGCCCGCCGCTCAAGTCTGGGAGCGGACGGTTCCTACTGCGGCTGGGCACCGGCTCGGCTCCCGCGTCGGCCCGAGCTCCAGCTGCGCCCGGCCTGACAGCGGCCCGGCTCGGCCTGGCCCTGGCCTGCGAGGGAAGGCGCCGCTGCCGCTAGGCCACTTCCAGGGCCATGAGGAGGCGGCGGCAGCCACTGCGGCCCGCGTCAAGGTGACCGGCCGGGACTGCGGCGGCGGCCGCCAGAGAGGCGGTGAGAAGACCGGCCAGCCGCCGCGGGGCGGGGCCCTGAGGGCAGGGCCGAAGGGAGCTGCAGGTGCGGGGGGCGGGACCCGAGGGCCGCTGGGGCCCGGAGGGCGGGGCCTCGTTCCGGGAGGCGGGGCCAGGGCCAGAGCCCAAGGTTTTGTTGGCGAGTTTCGTGTGAGGCTGCCTGAGGTGCCGTGGTGCTGGGGGGCGTGGAGAGCTGAGGGTAGGGGGTGGTAGCGGGGAAAGGGCGCGGGAGGAAGCGGGGTTGGAGCAGGCAGTTGGGCGGGGCCGAGGGGGCCGGGGGGCGGGGCCAGGAGCGACCGCAGGTTTGACAGTGGGCGGGAGCTGCGAGGTGAGGTCAAAGCGGCCTGCGGGCCAGGGCCTGGGGAAACCACAGGTGCAAGGGGCGGGGCCGGGAGACCTGCAGGGGCGGGGGCGGGGCCCGAGTGGTTGCAGGTCCGGAAGCTGGGCCACAGGGGAAGCACGGGCGGAGGGTGAGTGGTCTCTGCAAAAGAGGAAGCCCCTCTCTGCTCTCCAGGTGTCTCGGGTGGGAGCAGGAGCTTTGGGCTCTGCGGATTCTGGAAGTCTCCAGGGTTGCCGCTAGAGGGGCGGTGCAGGTCTGCCTGTGTGCCTCGCTGAGCCAGACGTGGATCTCAGCTGCCCTGGTTACTAGGCCGGCTGCTTACCGTTCCCTAAGTGGGGCGCTCTGTGTTTTCACCCCCTCCTGGGGCTTTCCTCGTGCTGTGGAAGGGGCATGCCTAAACTAGGGAGTGGTTGGCTTACGTTGCATGATCCGAGTTTCACTGGATGATTGGCTCTTAGAAAATGTGTATGCTTGAGGAGTAGTTAGTGTGACGCTTGGAAGCGTCCTGGATTGTTGTCTCTTGGTACCAGATGCTGTTTGCAAATCTGCACAGTGCTAGTCTGAAAAAGACTGAAATGGCAGCCTGGTGAGGGGGAAGAGCAGGAATTCAGAAGCTTTTGACTCTTTGTTACCTGAGAGTGTTTTGCTTTTTTGAGATTTGTTTCCTTTTTTGCAAAATGAGCATCCTGCTACCTTCTCGTGTGTCTCTCAGGGGCCCTGTGAGGATAGGATGAACAGAGCTTACTGAGAAAACGGTTGGCTAAAGTTATCTCTTCCTCCTCTTGTGAGGATGGGCAGGTTGGATTTGGGACCCAGGAGTCTAAAGGGGAAGAGATTACATATCAAGAAGTGAGGTCTGGACACTTTCTTGATAGAGTTTGGGGTAAAGTTTGTGGTGGGCTGTCCCCAAGAGACTAGTGGTGGCTTGAATCCTTGGTTGCTTTTCCCTGCCAGGTTTCCAAGGGAGCCACAGCAACGTAGGAAGTAATGGCAGATGGAAAGTAGAGGAATGTTTCATTGTTTGCTGACCTTTAGACCCCATCCCCAGCGAGGACTCAGACTTGTACATGAGGCTTGCAGTGGATCCTTGTGGAATTCTCCCTCCCCTACCCAAGCATGAACCCTCCATTTTACCACATTCCATGGGGAAGACATGAAAAAAGAAGGATATACCCGACCTTCGTTAGTTTCCTGTGGAGGGCAGAGAGAAGACAGTAAGATGATGGCTCCCCGTAAGATTCAGAAAAGTGTTCTTTCACATGTGTGACCTTTCCATGCTCCGTTTCTCTCTTCACTAGCACTTGACCAGTCTGACTGGTAATGCCCACTCCCTGTGCTGTGTGGAGAGATGAGAAGGTTTGCAGAGGCTTTCCTGCTGGCCTACACTGCTCACTGTAAAGCTATGGGACAAACACCATGCTGTTGGCCTCCTATACTACCACTGGTGTGGTGGTGACCCAGTGGCACTGTGGGGATGGCGTCTCAGGACTAGTCCTTGTAGAGCCAGTGCTTGGGTGACAGGGGTTGAGAAGCAGCATGTATGAGGTCCCACACTGTCCTAGCAGAAATAAGTATGTGACTCTTAAGAGACTGTTGTCCTCAGGGTGACCATTATGTCCTGTAGGTTAAAGGGAGTCCAAAACTTGGTGGTAGTCAAGAACTGGCATACTGGCTGAGGAGATGCGTGGTTTCTCCCCCCAGTTTCTTACCTTCTCAGAGTTTTGATTTCTGTATTTGTACACTAAGGATAACCATGGCTGCTTGTGAGGTTGCTGTGAAAAGTAAGTGAGATCAGATATTTGAAAGCACCTGTTCTACTTTGTAATCACTGTTAGGGTTTGTTTATTTTTCTACCTCTGCCCCTGCCTGTCCAAAGTGGCATGTAGCATGTAAGCAGAGCAGAAACTCTGAGGTCTTGGCATCTTATGTGACTTTGGACAAGTCTCTTCTCCTCTCCAGACCTCAGTTTCCTTGGCTAAGCCAGGAGGGTTTTAGACTACATTATCCTTAGGTGTCCTAGCTCTGGCTTCTGATTAGTATGCTGTTATATTTTTCTGAAAAGTAGGGGATGGAAACTAATGACCTGTGGCTTGCTTCCTTTTTAAAAAATACCTGTTTAAACTGAGTGTGGTTGTGTATACCTATAATCCCAGCACTTGGGAGGCTGAGGCAAGAGGACTACTGAGAGTTCAAGGCCAGCCTGAACTACATAACAAAACAAAACAAAACAAAACAACCACAAAAACCTGTTTAGCACTTTGCCTGGTGCATAGTAGGTGCTCATTAAATACTCATTCAAGGAACTGATGAAGATTTTTTACTGGGAAGTTGTAGCAAATGTCCCTGCTGTTTATATGTATATTGATTGTATCTATTCCTCAAATTGCATTTTATGTATTGCACCAAAGTATTTTCACAACATTAGTGGAGTTAGCGAACTTTAATATGAATGACAGAAATGCCGTACTATTTCACCGTACATTAAATTCATCCAGTTTTTGTTTAGAAACAGACATAAATTTTCATGGTTGCAATTTTGCATGTGGGCATTTGGGAAAAGTCTCTTTAAATAGTACTTTTTATTTTATTTTATTTTTTTAAAAGTAAAATCACATATGGATTTTTTTTAAAGGCAAGTAGGGAAATCAGTTGTAAAGTGTCTTTCTTGTTCATAATCTTTTTCCCTAGAGGCAACCATTATTAGTTTTTTGTTTATATCCTTTCTCTTACATAAGCAGTAGTATTGTATGTACACTGTCTGCTCCTTCACTTATTAACCTAATCTGTTTTGAAAATTGCCCCAACATTGGAAAGTTGGACACACAGTTCCTCCTTAAAAATGTTTCTGACTGATGCGGCAGCACACTTTTGTATGGCTCCTTCCCCCTTCCCCATGATGTTTACTCTGTGCTGGTTAGCAGTCATTGTTTAGAAGACTAACAAGAAACATCCTTTCTTCTCCTCTAAGAGAGAAATGGCTTTGGTCCCAGGGAACAGTAGGTTAAAGGGCAGTCCATGTGTCTAGATGTGAGGCAGAGACTGAAAGAGAAAGGAAAAGGATTTGTTCACTGGTAACTGAGAACTGATTTTCTATTCAGCCTGTGATTCAGAGTCCAGATCTATCATTTATTAGCTGTGTAACTTGGGACAGCTGATCTAATCTCTCTGCATCTCAGTTTCCTTATCTTTAAAATGGATGATGATAATGCGATCTGCATTTGGGGTTTCTGTCCAGAGGAGATGAGCTTATAGATGGAAAGAACATGCTGCAATGGCAGGTGGTGTAGATGCTTGGGAAGGGTGCGCTCCCCTGGTACTGCTGTACTAACCTACAGCAGGCTCCATTCCTTGTCAGCAGGTATCTACTGGGCAGTTAAGAGGGAGCCATGGAGAATGCCTCATTTCTGCCTTTGAGATGTTCACGTGCTGTGTGTGTGGCAGACACACACTACTGGTTACAGAGCAGTGTGGTGGGCCTGGTGGTGAGAAGTGAGCAGTGAGTGAGGTCACAGAGACCAGCAACAATTCCTTCTCCCTGGGTGATTTGGGCCTGGCTTCTCAGCCCAGTTTCTCCTTCTTTGTGAAGCCTATTCAGTTCTTCTGGGACAAGTGACCTCCCTCCTGCTTGTCCTCCTTTGACTGTCATTGTGTGCACACCTTGTCATGTTATGCCTTTATGTGTGTGTCTCTCTGCACAGGGGAAACCTCCCCCGTCTTTGCTGCCAGGTCTCTGGGGCTCTGTACAAGGTGGTCTTCTGGCGGGCAGTGTGACAAATGATGGACCTCTGGTCAGATGAGTCACGCTACCAAACATTGCACACTCTTATGAAATTGTAAGTCAGTAGGTCTCTGGTGAAACCTGGTCTCTGAACTCTTTCCTTCACTCCCCAAATATTTGAGTGCTGACTCTGAGATAGGGATGTGCTATGCCATACATAGGCAGCAAGCTTTTGGTGTGACTGGCAACACTTGTCCTGCAGAGTCTTTGGAGTAGGAGAGGAAAGAAATATTCTCTCTAGATGCTACAGGTCAGGATGGAGATGGAGAAAAAGGACAAGTGTAAAGATAAGCAGTGCTTGCTGGCTGAGGTGTCCCCACACCCTTTGGGGCGGGGCAGTGAGGAACAGGCCCAGGGATTTGAGCTGGCGGTCTGTACATTGTGGGCACGGATAGGAGAGAGTTGGTCGGATTGGCTTCTGTGAGGCTGTTGCTCACAGAACGTGCTCCCTTGACTGTCATTGTGTGTGCCCCTTGATGACAGAGAGGAAGCTTCGCTTTCTTCAGGTGGGCATTCTCTCAGCAGCACTGCTGGACTGCAGCGTGGGCTGAACCATGTACTGGATGCTGGGCATATGGAGATGAAGGCTGTCCATTCCTGTCCCTGGGAGTTCATGTTGTAGAGAAGCTGTACCCAAATGGAAGGTGACCAAGCCGACTGGCTGTGAGAGAAGACCTCAGATAAATTGACAAAGCAGATTGAGGCTCTGAAGCAGGTAGCTCTGGGTTCAAATTCTATAATCTGTCACACATGTGTGTGATAGTGGGTTTCCCTGCTTTGTAAAATGGGGTAATGCTATTACTAATGTTAGGACTGTTGAAGAGTCGGTGACATAATGCAGTGGGATGTTACAGTGGTGCCTGAC